TTTCTCCTTTTCTCTTTTTTTTTCTCTCTCCCCCAAAGAACAGAGAAATCCCTTTTAATTCCCTCCTGGAAAACGAACCCTCCTCCCCCCTTCTCTATTGGGTATTGTTGCGTCAGGAATGGCGAACGCGCGCGCACTACTTGCTCAATTTTTCCTGGTTAAAGGGGTTAAATTCGATTTTTCGTTTCTTTCTCGAAATTTTCTATCTTTCTTTCTTTCTTTCTCTCTTTTTTTTTTTTGTTTTTATTTTATTCGAGGAGCGAGAAGCGTTTGGAGAACTTTTATGGTGGTCGTTTTTTTATGGGAAGATGTTCGAAAAAGGGAAAAGCAAGGGTGTAATTTTTTTGATAATATGTTTATTTAGATTTGTTCGATAATTGAAATTTTTAGTTAACGATTAAAAATTGTTTCGTTCTTAAATTTTAAATTTGGGGAAAATAAAAATTGGGCGTGATTACGTATTGTAAAAATGATAAAAATGAGGGAAATTGGGAGGCAGAGGATCGATGAGATCCTCCGCGCACAAACAAATTGCGAAGGACATTGTTGAGCTTTCGATGAATTCGCGAAACATTAAAAATCGAGTGGTGTTTTCCGTCGAAACTTTTCAATATTCGTAAAATATTGCATCCTCGCCCGTCCCGATACCACTTCAACACTTTTCACTTCGTTTGAGCGCGTGGTTGAATATTGTTCGAAATATCTAAAAATACGCGCCGATATCGTCGATGATATCCCATTCTGTTTTTTCTTTCGTGCAGAAACGCGATATTATATTCGAGATGAATCTTTGAACCAAGACGGTAGAGTATATACACGTGTATTCATTTAGCAACAAGTTTAATGATAGAAAAAATTTCACTAATACCATTAATTTTGTAAAAGATTATAGAAAAGTTTCTATACTCTCTATAAATAATTTCCCCTATATCTTGTATATTTTTCAAAACATAACCTAGAATTTTTATAATTTCTTTTGCAACTTGAATGTTATTGTTTATACCATAAAAACTGAAGAAAAACTTTAATATTCGAATCACCCTATACAACATTATAATCCGTTATTTATCCTGAAAATCCAATTAATAGATCGTCGCAAAAATTTCACGACATCGATGCGATTTGATCGACTAAAAATTTTTATCGCGTAGGAGGTTATGTTCTATTAAATATAAAAACGTAGTGGTATGTCTGGGCAATCGATTTCCCGTGGTGAAGAGAGCTTGGTCGATTCAGAGATCATCGTATCGCGTCGAGCACGTCGAGGAAGCCCTCGATACACCGCCACGGCACGCAACAGTCATAATAGGGGAGAACATAAAATACGTAAGCGTGTGAAAGTCCCTAGAAAAAGGATTTTCCTGTGCGCGCTCCACTATACGTGTGGAATGCCTCGCAATTCGTGTCTTCGTGGACTCGAGGATGAGAGTCTATCGATATCATATTTCTCTTATGGAAAAATTTGCGAAAATAAATTCGTTTCGCTATTGAAAGCTTTTTATATCGGGAGATCTTTAATCGGATTTCTAAGTATTTAATGCACAATTATATCGGTATTATCGGTCGTTGGTAAAATAGTACTTGACGTAATAAATGAAAATATTTTCAAGAATTGTTTCCGTAATTGTGTCAAATTAATATTACGCGAAATAATAATATTACAATTTAGATAAATAATTTCAATATTTGCAAATATTATTATTATTACGTAAAATAATTATTTCGATAATTTTTACATGAAATATACGAATAATATTCAATAATATTGAATATTATAACTGGTGTTTAAATATACGAAGCAATTTTTATTCTATAAATTCTGTATCGAAATATTTCGTAAAAAAGTCTCACATATTCTTCGTATTTTATGAATAAATATTTAAAATAACGTGTCATAAAAAATACAAAGCAATTTGTATCATTTTAAAATAATCTTAATTTGAACATTCTCTTTCTATGCGTGTGTGTGTATGCGTGTGTGTTATTCTGAAAAGATATCACGATGGATAGAAAAGCACGCGAAATCCACGCGAAAAGGGAAAACAGATTTCGCGAGGCGATAGAGAATAAATAACAACTAATAGTCTTTCTATGCTGAGGCGAAAATTTCAGGCGGCGCGACGTGGTATTCAAGCTTTATCGGCAGAATTTAAATTTCCACCTTTAAAGGCAGCTCGACGATTTTAATTGGAGATATTTAAATTCCAGCTTGCAAGAATAAGTTAAAACTGCATGTGTAAGTAAAAATATTCTTTCATCTATATTCCGCGCGTGAGAAGGATTCTTCATTTAAATATTTAAAACCCGGACGACATATCGTTCTGACAGAAAAAAAAAAACTGGATCGTTGCAAAACCATCGATAGCGATCATGAGAAAAAGAGCCCATACCGACATATTGACAGTTTCGTTAAGGATATCGAGTCTAAAAAAGTGATTAACAATACAAGAATTGTTTCTTATATCTGATCCTCGTGAAAATTAAAAATATAAAAAAAAAGAAGAAGTTTTAAAAAAAGGATTGGCCTTGATAGGTAGACAGATTTTTTTCCACGATATAAATGAGCTTAAGAAATAATTGCCAGAAAGATGATAATTTCCTCGTGAAAGTTTCAACTGATAACTACTACACTAAAAGTCTAGAGACTTCCATTTCTCGCCGTCGAAACCAGAAATAATACTAATTATGTAATTTCGAAGCGTTCTTGCCTGTGAAACTTGTTTCGAAGTTTCCGTCCTTCGTATCACGCTGTGGTATCTCCTCGAATTGCACCGAGTTTCTCATCATTCATCGCAGAAGAGGTCAATATCGTTGCATCTTTCGAACTTGGTCAGCGCCAATGAAGAAGATGGCGTTAACGGTACCGATTACATTCACTTCGAGACATTTGTTCGTATTCCACTGACGCGCGAGTGGAAAACCGAAAACCGCGAGAGAAAACGGATATTACGATTATTTTCTAAAGAGAAATGTTCTAAATAACTGTTGGCGGGCGAGTTCATTCTATTTTCTTCGTTGAAACAGACAGACGAGCGTGTATCGATTATTTTAAAAACTGAGAATTCAGTCCGATAATATTTTATCAATTTCGACTAAGTGGCAGATGTTTCGCTTAAACATCGGATTAAATTATATCGTTGATAATAAAAATATATCACATAGCGAAAATGGTATCCGATTAAACGCGAATAAACTGATTCAAGAGATCCGAAATACCCGATTGATCGCGATTCTAACCTCACTTTTAAGTCACATGCAATGTACGTAACGTTCGAACGATGATACTCTCTACGATGCTTTGTGGGGATTCGCTGGTCAAACGCAATGGTCACACTGATTTTTCTCAGAGAGTTTGTTTTCCAAGGCTTCGTAACAAACACGCTGCTCGCGAATAGGTCGCGTCATATTCAGAGAAAATAAAGCGTGGCCGATCCGCGTATCGCTTATTGGTATGCCACTGACACGCCAGTCCAATTTCGTTACCGACATCTGCGAATCGCTGAATATCATCTGCTCCATTGAAATTCCGCCATAGCTGTGAGACGCGATATCGCATTTGTCTCCCTGACTGCGTTACCTAAACGATCGCGTTTTGCGCCTCTCCCTCTCCTCTCCTCCCCGTGTCGGCCCTTGTTCCCACCGCCTGGCCAGGCCCAACGAACGTGGCCGCGTATCTATGACGAGTATCCTGTTTTTCCAACCTCCAAATCCATTCTCGTGACCCGATAATTGATCGTCAATTTAATGGCAGGCTTAAAATTGGCCCACGTTGTTACGTGGCCATGCTGTTTCAACACTTTTCATGTATTTGCGGCGGGCCAATGTTGTGGGCAAATACGTGATACATAAAATGATATGGGAATAATAAATAGAAGCGTTTGTGGGAATTATAACATAATATAGCTATAGTTTCGTCGATATGTTTGACAATCCGTTTCCGTTTCGCCATCGTTTGGAAAACCAATCATTTTGCAAGAATATTTGTACGCAATTTATTAAAATATTCTTCGAGTTTGAGAAGAAAAGGTCTGACTCGAGAATCTACATTGCAATCTAAAAATGCTGAGCGATTCTCTGTAAATCCCTCGTTATCCTTTACAAAGGATAATGTTTTCTGAAAATGTTAAACATTCACTTTTTCCTATTATAAAAATTCTTCTTTCTTAAAAGAGTATTTATGTGATGCAAATCCTACGTGTCTTATTAATTTGATTAAAAACTTCCTACGTCTCGAATCGAATGTTTTTCGATCGTTAAATAATCGTTGAATTTACTATCGAGATCCTTTTCCTCGAAATTCTGTGCAATTAAACTAAATAGATCGTATAATTAGATGCAATCAGATTGACTGAAACGTTATTAAAAACGCAAGCAAACGGTATCCTCGTAAATAAATACAATTTATGAATCTACGATAAAAGAATCAAATGATGATTAATATAAATTGTTCGATTGTTTCTCATCTTATTTTCAATAATATACGTACAATTATTCTTTTTTCAATGAACGAATTTGTTGACTTTGAATTAAGATTGAAAAAACCGAGGATGAAGAATCACCTGAAGGGATCCTGGACATCCGTGACTTTAATCTGTCAACTAATTAGCCGACGTAGATTAAACCAATTAGATTCGTGCTTCGCGTAACCTGCGACTACGTAATCGTTTCTATGAAGGATTACTTAACCTTCGATCATAACTCTTGAATTTACATAAAGATTATCGTTATGAATCATAAAATATATAACGAATAAATCACAATTTATTATTGCGAAGTAAGTATGGTATAATTTCTAATGAATTTTAACACGATCGCGAATGATACACGAGGAATAGAAAATAATTTGTTTGTACAAAATTATAAATAATTATCCTAGCATCGATGCATTTAACATTGAAAACGCATTTCAACACGTTGACTAATAAATGTCATATGTCATATGTGAGAAAATATAGATAGATGTTGTCAAATATGCATTTAAAGGTTAAAGTTGAACTGACCTTTATCCTCGAGGAACCTCGAGACGATTAATCCTTTTGGCACTATGGGCCAGATGTCAGAGGCAATGTCACTTATGCGATGCGACACGGCATTCTTTATACGAGGTTAGATCAGGTCAAACGCAAATGCATCTATTTCGTTTTCCTTATTCTGTAACATAAAGAACAATATATTATTACGTATAACATCTTGTTTTATTTAAAATCGTAGAAGAAAAATTATAAAAGATTTATTTGTTTATGATTTATGGAGAAGATTTCGCAATTTTAATTTTTCGCTGGAAATTTTATTAGCGTGGCAGGAACGACGTGTTCACGAGATATCTCATCCACGGCGAAGGGGTTAAACGTTGTGCTTTGTTTATCTATTATAACGGTCACGTTGTTCAAATAATACCGCGTGTCATGTTACGATGCCATACGACGCGTAATAACTGCAAACAGTAATTATTCTGGGGAATTGATCACATGTTATTCGCGCCAATGATTGAATAGTATCTTCCGTTGTTAGTTTACTTTTTCATCGAAAAAACGTCAAATAAATATTTCGTTGCAAATTCGTATAAAATTCCGCATCGGAATTAAAAGAAGAACAAACAAAAATATTCGGTTAAACACGAAAGATTACAAAAGTATTATTAATTTTAATATGTAATTAAAATTCGATTTTAAAAATTCTTCATCAAGACGCTTTCATCGTAACATCTACCATACACCCTATTTCCGCCATCGAAAATGAATATCGAATCATTAATCGGTATAATGTTCCTTTTTCACCCTCATATCGAATGCACGCGTCAAAGTGATATCGAAAATGCATAATACCTAAAAAAAAAACAACACACACACACGCGCGCGAAAAAGGTAATCATGTTCGATGCTCATTCTCGAAAAACCAAATCAAAAATAAAAAACAACAACGTGAAGAGAAGCTAAATTAAAATCAAAATCAAAAAAAGGAGAAAAGTAAAGTTCCACGAAAACTCGAGCTGCACGACGAGTTCGAGTTCAGAAAAAAAAAAAGAAAAGAGAAGGAAAAATCCATAGCATCTTGGGGGGAGGGGGAAGCATTAGGCCGAGGTAATAGCCCATCGAGCACGAGGCAGCCCGTAGGCCGATCACCCGACTCTCCCCGTGTGTTTTCGTGCGCCGACAGCGAGCGGAATCATTGCGAATTCTCGTAATTCCCTCCCATCCGTGGAAGGGTGGTTTCGCGGCCTGGCGCAGGGGTTGAGGGTAGGAAAGGGGGGGAGGGGGGCGTAGACGCCTCTCTTTCCTACGGCACGCTCGAAGCACCCAGGGGCAATTGAAACTCACGGCCATTTACTGCATTTCAATAATGGTTTCCCATCCTCTTCCACCTCCCCCCCCCCTCTCCCCAAGCCACGTACGTGGAACACGGGAGAGAGCGACGTTGGCTGCTCCGCACCCGCTCACAGTCGATTTACCGTGAGCTTTATGGAACACAACGGGGGTAGAAGTAACCAACGGCTAACTATCTCGTCTATGGACGAGTGTATTATTCGATCCGTGGCCCTAACACGGCCACGTGCCGACGTGGGCGCCGTTTTATGCTTCCGGGAAAAATCGTTTGACCGGGCAGAGTGCACGGGGTAGAGGATGGCCACGTGAAAAAAGAAATATACCGAAATTTTCACTTTGATTTGGATCTCGAATTGGATTTCGAAGGAATGGGTAACGTGTGAGTGAGAAGCGGAGATTGGTTGGTGAGAAAGATATGGAGAGGTGTCGAAACTTTTGAAATTTTGGATTCTGGGAAAGTATGCGGGAGGAAGGAGGAAGTTGATGAAAAAGATACGATATGGATAATTTTTGATTTTCGGATACTGAACGTTTGAAAAGGTGAGAAAGGAAATGGTAATGAAAGAGGTAGCGAAACTTCGAAATTTTGGTTTTGATTCGAAGATATACGTTCGAAGCTGATTATTAATTAATAATGACAGAGATTGAAATTATTGTATCTTTATCGATCAAGTGAAGAGTCGAAACTCTGTATCGTCATTTTTCCGAAATGCGTTTAAAACGATTGTTAACGACGTTCGGAATAAAATTAAAAATTCAAGAAATGGAATAACTTTGTGTAATCTAACTTTTAATCAACGTTACAACCGAGGAGTTGTGACAAGTTCGTTGGATTACAAAGTAACCTGGTAACAACTTCCATTTGAAACATTTCAAGAACATAGTTATACATTTCATAATTTTGTGAAAGAGGGAAGAAAGATAGAAGAGAATTTAAAAAAAAAAAGATAGAAAAAGAAAAGGAACATGAAAATTTACTTTAAAGTAAATTCATAAAAATCTCTCTGTTTAATATATGTATCGTGGAGAATTCTTGTTTTCTTTTTATTTATTTTTTTTTTTTCGTTCAATCCTAAAAGGCTTTGCCAAATCCATTTTCGAAATGGTTTTCGTTACCAGTCGGATAAAGTCTATCATGTCGAGCGAAGATATCTGAAAAATGTTTTATATCCTTCAACGCACCGAATACATCGGACGTCGTACTATTTTTATGCTAAAATCCACGGGGGGTTTCGATTTCGTTATACCGTTTCTGACTTATCGACATTCGTCTTCTATTTCTCGAGTTGCAAACGGATCCGTACCGTTCGCCCACATACGATTTTACGATATTGTAGGTTTAACCCACTTTGTTATCCCAAAACGACCAATTTTAAATAAATTTAAAAATTCTTACTTCGGTAATAAAAGAACCGCCTATTCCTTTGACCGGTCTATTTTTAATTCCAAGGTGTTGATCACAATGATATTCCTAAATATAAAGAATTTACCACTCTCGCAAAAATAATCTCTCTACTTTCACATTTCCATTAAAAGATCCAACGATAATCTATGATTCTGTGATACCAACTCCACTTAACAATCCCATTACCGAAAGAAGTTTGCATCAATTTACCAACGCGCTTCATCGATTAATACCGATCCGAATTTTCCACGAAACGGGTCTAAATAATTGAGATGGATATTTTATCGTCTTGTCAGGTTCCCGTGAACACGAAACACCATGGTGGATCGTATACGAGAGGCGAGGGTAGGGAAGGTACGTGAATTCGGTGAAATTTGAAATCGGGTAAAATTGCCCGAAGGCAATGGCGAAACAAATTTCACCCATTAGCGACCGACGGAGGATACATGTCACGCCGCGGTTGTCATCAATACAAATATCTGCGCGAGATACCTGTCCATATTTCCGTCCTCGAGCCACGGAATCACGTGTGTGGTCCCATACACGGGAAAACCTCTCGAATTTATTCGATAAATTCATATACTACTGGCTGTGCTCTTGCTATGAATTTCTTGAATCTGATCGTGTAAATCGCATGCTTTCTTGCTATCTTCATTTTTTTGAAATATGATTTATAGTTGATTACAAAAAATGTTGGTTGCTAAAGCTTACTTTTTTAATATGTAATTTTTCATCGTGCGTTCTATTTTATTCTCAAGCATTAAACTATCGGGTAAGTTTAAAATATTAATTCAATAAATTGATATTAAATGGTTTCAACAATTATTAAGAGGATAGTCACCTGCAATAACCTAGTACGAGGTAATTTCGCTGTTTTACGAGTTTTCGTAGCATCAAGACGAATAAGGGAACTTTTAACGAGGTCAGAAGATACGAGACAAGTAGCTCGTTAGAGGTATTAACTCTTAAAAAAAAGTGTAATTTTTTTCAATGATAAATTTCTTGAGAGAAACCGAATGAAACGAAAATTCAATTCTTTTTTTCATATGGCCCCCGAATGCGACAAAAAATATATTACACGGGTGATCTATTTTAGATCTCGTGTCTGCGTCGGACAGAGCGGAGAATACAGCGTGAGAGTGCTTCTGGATTTAAATACAATAACCCGGGGCTATTGTAAAAAATATACACGGCCACGTTCGCGCGACTGCACACAAATGGTCGGGCCTTATGCATGCGACACGATCGCTGGTATTTCTATTCTCCAAATTAATATGGAGAATTCAATCACGAGTATCGTACATATTGATAATCTCTAATTTTTTCTCAATAATCCATTTTTAAGATGGTCGTTCATAATATATTGGATATCCAAGCAATTCAATTGATTTTTTATAATAATAAAGATTTAATAAATAAGTTTTAAAGATCTATATGTTTTTCTATATTGCATGATCTTTTTTATCTTCTATAAAAATGACGTGATAAATTTTCATATTTCATATTTTCACCCATAAAGTTTGAAATGCTCTATAAATTAAAAAATTGTGTAATTTTAAAGCATTTAAATTTTTTATCAGAATAAATCGTAATTAATATTATGTAATGAAGAATCATGGGACGATTGGTGAAGGAAGGGGTTATGTGTATATACATATCTCTATGCGAATGCAAACGTGGCTGCGCATGTAATATGCGGTGTAATCGCATTCCTATGCATGTTACAAGCCCTGTAGATACAGTGGATCTAATGGACGACACATGTTAAATATTCCGCCGATATCGATACTATGAAGAGATTATTCTGATCCACGTGCTCGTGCTATTATCATTTGCCTATATCCTTCTCGATTTTTCATAACTTAATGGGGCATTAACGTATTGAATGGATCGAACAAATACTGGAGAGTCACTTTGTAGATTAAGTTATCCATCATGCAACCTCCTGCCGTTCTTTGTTCCCTTTGTTTTGTTTAGTTATTTTTGTTCTATACTTAATGTGTATGTGATAAAATTTAATTTCTTTCATTTTCTGTAATGGAAATTCTGCCAATTTTTTAACAATGATTTTCCATTCTAAAATTTCAATCAATATTAAATGTATTGAATTATTAAAATTATCGATGATAATTTTTTTAACGTGCATAAAAAAAAATATTACAACGCATAGAAAAATGCACTGTAAGTTCGAGATCATATCGATGAGATTGTTCATATTTGAACACGAAACAGTATGCTATCTAACTTGAGAAAGAGAAAAAGATTTTTTTCGTTTTATATGTCTTTACGCAATCCCACCTTTGCATACGTTTGAATGCTTTCACGTTAGATGCATTTGAACGTAGTTGCATATGTGACAAAAATTCTTTTGTCGAGTTCAGTTTGCAATTGTTCATTGTCTACCAAACGAGATTCTGAAAATATTTCGATAAAAAGTAAGAAATAATAACGAAAAATATCAAGATTACATAAAATATTATTTTACAAGTAAACGTCATTTAATTATATAAAATAATTTATCGCTATTATCGTTTTTTCTTTGCTTTCATCTGTATCCTACGACTTTTTCCTAATCTCTGTTTCGATTTTCCTTTTTTCTTCTTCAAATCTTTTCCTGGTAATGAAGGTCTTTTATATTCTGATACATCTGCGGAACTTGCCCTTGTGTTCTTTTTGCTACCCCTTTTTTTACCACCAAAACCAAATTTGGCATCCCTCATTTTACGTTTTGCTGCTGCTTTTTGATCCATTGCTTTGCCTTGAGGTTTCTTTTTATCTTCTAAGAAATCAAGATCTTTTCTTACACCCTTACGATACTTTTTGACCTCTTCTAATAATTTTCTCTTTTCTGCATGTTTTTTCAAAGTTGCTTCTATCTGCATTTGTTTTCCTATTTTCCTCTGTTGCCTCAATTGCCTAACCTTTTCTGATCTTTGCGCTATTGTCTGTTGTTTCATTAGATTTTCTCTGACCTTATGCATATGAGCATCTGATTTTGCCATTTCAGCAAAATAATCATCTGGCCTAGTTGTTGGAATACCAAGTTTTTTTAATCGGGCAATACCCTCCATAACAGCAGCTTGTGCCTGTCTATGAAACATTGTTTCTCTACGAAAATCATTTAGAACGGGATCATCTGCTGGGTCATATTGAGGTAATTTTTTATTCCCTTTCAATTGCTTTGCACGTCTGTCTTCCTGTTCTTGCATTTGCAATGCCAATTCTGGTGCTAAAGGTGCTGGTGCATTGGTCAAGTCTAATCTTTCGATCCATGGTAAATTCAATTTAATTTCTTCTAGCTTTTTTTTCATAAGAGACTAAAAATGATCCCAATTATGATCCTCTGATTATTTTTTTGTATTCATAGATCTAATTATATTATACTTACAACGCAATTTTTTGGTGTTTTTTTATTTTTTTCAACTACTACATTTAGACCAGGTTTTAACAAACCTTCTGCAAAAGCTTGCCTTAACTGTACACGTGAAAAAATATAGGTTAGAAAAGAATTACATTATATATTTTAGAGTATAAATAGTATTTACTTCTTCGTCTGATGAATTATACTCTGAATCGGATTCGGAAGACGATGACGCTTTTACAGCTTTTTTCACTTTCATTTTTTAAGTTAAATTTGTCAAATATATAAATTTAAACTTTTATTGTAAACAGTATATTCTATGTATCTTTCTTCTAGCGCTCTCTATTGGGAATATAGGAACATATTTGAAACATAATGCTTAAATGATAAGTTTTCCTAATGCTTTTAAATATTATTAAAACAAAATATTAAATATTCTTTTTGCTTTTGTAAACAGTTTATTATATATTAAAAAAACTACATGTAATAATTTCTCTTTTGTATTATAAAAATTACTTTATCATAACGATATTATTATCAGATTTATTATAAATAATGTCACTCTAATTTTTAAAATATTTACTTTTTATTTCATTAAAAAAGAAGTATACAATATTTAATAAAAACAAAATTGCATATCATTTTCTATAAATGAAGATGATTATAAATTATTAATATTATCAATGATTATTTTCCATCAGAATAAAAAAGGAAATCTGTGTTATATGATATAAGAAATAAATTTAGTTATCTTATCTCTAAATCTATGAAAAAATGAAAAATACATGAAACAAGATACGAACCAATCATATATAATGATTTCAGTCCAGATTCTACTTATTGTGGAGAAATTCTAAAGTGAAGTTCCTGTCTGAAATAATATATTCTATGCCAGAATTTTTTGTCACAGTTGGTTAACGACAGCGAAATATCATGACGGATAGTGATAAGAAACCTATGTCACGTTTATTGAAACTTGCTAACAAATTTAATTGCTTCTACCTGTCAGGTAAGTCTCATTATCAATATTAAACATGTCTGGTCTTTTTTTTTACATCAATGAATTAATTTTCTAATGATTAGGACATAGAAACGTATGGCTTTCCGTCCTGTCTAGTAAGATATTGATTTCGAGTTTGTTGTGTATTCTTTCTCGTATTTTCAATGAATTAACGAAAACTCTGTTTATATTTTTTGAAAATATAAATAATATTCGCAAAATTTATCGCATCTATTATTTTCCTTATTATCTTTAAAAACTTTCCCATTTTTCTGATAATAAATATTTTGAATAAATTCTTGTTACATATACATATATACATATATTTATCAACGGATAAGAATTCATATTATCTGTATCCGATAATCTAAAGATATAGTAATGTTTTGTTATATAATTTAAATATAAATATAAATATAAACCAAATCTATTTAATAATAAAAATTTTTAGTATTTTTTTTTTTTTTTAGATTTAAATAAATGTAATATAATTAATGTTATACTATGTTATATTTTTATAATAATATATAATTAATAAAAATATATAATTCTTATTAAATTTGTTTTATGTTATATTTTATTTTTCTCTTTATTATAGCATTTGCATTTTATAATATATATATAAGTAGATTTTATATATTTCTTAAATTTTATGGTAATGTATTTATAATAAATAATAATATTTGAATATTCATAATGTTCCTTAGGTTTTCATGCAGGAGAATGCAGAGCATTTGTTGTTGATGGTCAACAAGTTGGCCTTGTACGTCCAGATGTAATGAAAGAATTATTAAATTATCCACAGGTATTCATACATTGAATTGCAGAATAATTTATAGAATTTTAATATTTATTTTAAATATTGCCTTGAAGGTATTTCAAGTACATCCTGAATATGTACAACTAAATCCAGCATTCAGAGACTATGCAGAAAGAAGTGCTCGAGTTGAAGAAGTTTTAAAAGAATGGCGTGCAGGTGGAAAATTCATAACATTAAGAGGATGGAGAGAAGAATGTTATGAAGTACGAGCAGAATTCAATACTCCACCATTATTTAAAATGGATCGATCTGCTACATGTATGTATAATAATCATAATTTTTTTAATATTTTTTATTTTTTTTAATATTTTTACTTATTATTATTTTTTATTTCCAAAAATATTATTATTTATTTATTATAACAATAGGCTTATTTGGAATTCGCAAATATGGAGTAGATATTAATGGATATGTTATGGATCCTGTCAAAGGATTATCAATATGGTTACAAAAACGTAGCCCAAATAAGCAAACTTGGCCTGGATATTGGGATAACATGGTGAGCGGTGGATTGAGTGTGGGATTTGGTATTAATGAAACTGCTATAAAAGAAGCTGGAGAAGAAGCCAGTATTCCTAATAATCTTATTGCAAAATTAAAGAGTGTTGGTTGTGTATCTCTGTTTTTTGAAAGTGAAAGGGGTCTGTTTCCCAATACAGAGTTTGTATACGATCTTGAACTGCCACCAGATTTTGTACCAAGTAATAATGATGGAGAGGTTGAGAATTTTGAATTGCTTCCAGTTAATGAATGTATAGAGAGGATACTGTCTTCGCATTTTAAAACGACATCAGTTCCAGTTGCTCTTGACTTTTTAATTAGACATGGATATATCACAGCAGAAAATGGTAAATATACAATATTATATAAATGATTATTAAATTGCGAATTATAATGTAGCTAAAACTAATCAAATTATCAAAAATATATTATATATTGTAATATATAAAACATGTGTTATCCCTATATACTTTAAAACATAATAAATCATAAATAAAATTCAGATTTTTCATATAAAAAACATAAGAAAAATGTAAAAATAGGGAAAATACCATTAAAATCATTTTTTCTTTTATTCATTTAAAAGTAGTAACGATATTAATGAATGAATTCGTGATCTATCTTTTCCTAGAAATTTGTATACTTTTAGAAATCGCATCTATTATTTATTTGAAATTTAAATTCAAGGAAATCATAAAATCAATAAAATCATGAATAAATTAATGAAACGAGATGCGAGTGAGAGATTCGAGTGAGCGACAAAGACGAAAATAATTTTAAAATTTAAATGATTAAATATTATTCTTGTTTTTTACATAACGAAATCTGAAGTCGTATCGGAATAAATGAAAAACCGTTTTAAAGAGAAAGGTTTCGCGCTTCTAATGATTCCTCACTCAGTGACCGGAATTCACTATTTTCAGAGTTATAGCAGTTCAAAGTTTTCCTAATGTTAATAAATCTTTAATCGAATTTTAAGTTTTAAGTTTTAAATTAAATATTAATCATTTCTGGAAGAATATTATGCCTATAACAATGATTAATGATATATTTGAAATTCTAAATTAATTTAAAAAATCATTTATTTGATTTATTGACTGATTCAAATTTAATTATGTTGATTGTATAAAATATATGTAGTATGAAAAAATATATATTTGCAATCTATTGATTATAATATTAAATATTCTAAAATGTTCATTTCTTTGTTGCAGAGCCTAATTTTATTGAAATCGTGGAATTGCTTCATATACCTCTGCAGACCATTTACAATCATCCACAAAAAAAATGTAAATTAGCTGCAAATGGTGAGGCAATCGATTCTTTAAACAGAATTTAAGTTTAACTAGTCTTTAATTTAAATTGCGTTAAAAAATTAATTGAATGAAACGAAAAGTTAGCTTTTTTTTTTGTGATTTTCTTGTATTTGATCAATTCTTCGCAGATTTTATAGTAAGAAAAAAGAGAAAAAATGATGCAATTTTATATACATAAGGCTTGCAAAATATTTATAAATCACTAAATAATAGTTCAAATATTCCAAAAATCGATTTACAAGATTTTTATGATATTCAAATTAACTCTTATTTCCATGCATATTAGAAATAAAAAAAGAAAAAAAGAAAAAAATAATTTCAATAGCTATATACTGATTGTAACATTTTTACTCATAGATATAATTCTTTTTGTTATGATTCTAGTAGTTTTTATATAATAATGATGAAAGTATCGGTAAATACGATTTTTTGATGATTCTTATAGGAAGAATATTTCGGAAAATAAACATAGATATTATTAACTTAGAAAGAATTTCATAGGAAAGATATATTTTAATTTGTTGACTGCGAATTTATTAACGTTTAATAACTTTGTAAAATTGGCACAATATATAGATATATAATTTAAGAACTAATTTTTAACATCGTTATATAAAAAAAAATCACGTTACATCTTCCTCTAATTTTTACCAACCATCGAACTGAATTTTTGCACAATAATGAAAAGAGAAGTTTTCGCCGATTGTACGATATTTAAACTTGTGACGATTTTTGATATACATCGATGTCAAATTAGAAGTATTATTCATACAGCATTCCAGAGCATAGATTAAGACTTCAGTTTCTAAGCGACATGGATAAAAAAAACGAAAGAATAACAATAGTTTTTTCTAACGTTTGTAATCGAACTTTTGTACTAAACTTGTACACCTAACAACAACAAAAGTGCATAGAATGCCAATGCAGTAATATCGTAATATTCTGCGTAGAATTAAGACAGAATTCATTCACAGTATTATGGACGTGAATGCACAGTATACTGTTTGATATGTTTAAAGTAAGGAACTAACGAAAAAAAAAAAAAAAAAAAAAACAACAAATTTATAGATGAATTATGTCAACGTATGTGTTCTTATATTCCAACTATGCTACCAACGAAAAATGCTTTAGATCTAGCATTTTATCTTGAACGACTTTTTTGAGAAGGGGAACAAAAGTGTTCGTATTGTTTATTGTATGTAATACGTAGGTAGATTTTTTAATTGAAGACGATTGGTACTAAGGTTCTGATCAAGTGATATCATTAGATTTTGAAGAATAGTAATTGTATAAATGGCAAACGCAAATTTAAAACATCGCATTTTTTGTATCAATGTTATGGATTTAATATTTATTGCTCATTTTACTTATTTGATGATTGTGGTTTAATTTATGTATTCATTGTTCTGTTCATCTAATGCACAGAACTTATTTTTATTTTCTTTAAAAGTCAACTAACAATTAAATATTTTTGTAAGATATTTTATTTAAATGATGCTTCGTACTACTTACATTGCGTACGCCTTAAGTTAAGAAATTTTTTGATACTGAACTAGTTTCTATGAGATGAAAAGTCATTAGGTGTGTTGAATTCTAGATATAAGTTGTTGTTAAGAATTCAACATTACAATCATTATAATTGTGTTTTTAAGAAACTTTTCTATCAAGACTAGAATATCTGTATCGTGACGTATTATGTTAATATATTTGCTTTCTTTCATTGCTTTTATTTTTCGTCTATTTTGCTAGATGAGACGTAGTTGAAATATCCGTACAGCTTAATCTAACTTTATTTAATCTTTATTTGTACTAACCTCTGATATGTTTAATTAAGTAAATTCGCTATTTTTATAATTATATACTAGTCATACTTATCATTGCTTTATAATTTCTTAACAATCTGGTCATAAAATTGTAGTATCTACGATTATGTTTGTTTTTAAGTGAAACTAACATTTTTGTGATAGAAATGAGTACGGCTGGCCATACTGTTTAATGCATGAATTAATATTTGTCAATGAATAAATTTAATTAAATTTAAATAAAAATGTCATCGTTTCTATCAATGACACCTGAATGGCCATCGTTCTATTTTTCTTTTTCTTAATTTTTTTTTTTTAACATAGAAACATATCATATGTTTTTCTTTTCTTTTGTTTCTATTAATCATTAACAGAATTAAAATGTAAGGCGAATTTTCTATAGCCATTTTTATTCGTTGCATAAATGTTGTACTTAATTTTCATAGTCTTTTATATATATAATGAATCCTCTGTTATAAAATATAATAATGTAACAATCATTAAAGCAAGAAAAAAGAGAAGAATCAGTTACAATTATACATTAACTCAATAAATAAAGTTCAAATATTTTGTATTTTATCATTTTATCCTTTTCCATGTATTCAATAGATTTTCCTATATTTTTATAGGAATATTTATAATATTTTATTAAATAATCAATAATACAGTGCATAATAGTTTCTGATAAATTAAAGATCTATATTTCAAAAATCTAGATAATAAAAAAATTTTTCAACGAAAAAACAATAATAAATTAATGGGAATGTTCAGAAAAAAAAAAATAAAAATATACTAGAAACTTGGTGGGGAGACTTGACTTTGTTGGAAGAAACAAAAATCGACCAAATCACTCCCTCTTTGAACATCATTGGGATAACAGTTTCGCGACTACTCTTTAGCACTTGTACTTCCTGTTGAAGTTTATATTCAAATTTTTTATTGTTTTCAATTGAAAGTTTTCAATTAATTTTAATTTCAGTGAATAAATCAAACGAAACATAAAAGTTTGTGTAAAGTTTTATCTTGTTTATCAGGTATAGTGAAGAAATACTACTAATAATTATTTCTTTAAGAAACAATTACACTTATAAACATTAATTTTTTTTATTCATTACGACTTTATTAATTTTTTTGCAATGAAAACTATCGAGATTGCATCATATTGCGAAATATCGCATTTTCGTTTTTTTCTATTATTTCTCATAAAATCCATTAATTTGATCAAATTTTGATAATTTAGAAATTAGCCTAAGATAAAAATTAGCGAAAATTTTTATATAGCAAAAATTTAATTTTTTCTATTTTAATTATTTTTATGTTAATATATATAACTTTGTATATTTTTTATATTAGTATAAAATAATATAATATTATTGAATAAAATTTTGTCAATTATTAAGTTAAATTTTATATTTACTGTTAAGTTAAAATTTTCATATTTGTACTTTTTTTTAATTCATTTGCGTTCTTTTGATAGTAGATTTTTGACTATGGATTCTACGACGTTTTCACTGAAACAGTCTACATGTCCTTTAACAGCCACGAAAATTTCATCAAGACTTGGATATTTCATACATTTGGCGATAGGTGAGTTATTTCATTCCTATATATTTTTTATTTTGTACGAATAATGTAATGAAATCTCAAAATTATAATATATATAATCAAAATTTTGTATAGCTCATATTATATATAGAATTAATTTACAAATTTTTCATAAAAATATATTATGAATAGAATATATATTGAATAGAATGAATAGAAAATAGATATTTAAATAATTAAATGAACATTGATCGATAAAATCAATAGAAAAGAACTGATGCATTTGCAAATGGCAAATTTGATAAATGGCGATACAATGAAAATGAAATTTTCTTTCACTGACCTTTTTAAATTTGATGTTTAAAAATTGAAAGCTTGATATAATGTAGTCCAAAGTGATTATTTCATAATTCACATACAATATATTTGCACTGAACACTTTTTCCACGTTATTTTTTATTTTAAAACACTATTTTAAACAAATTGTAAGTTTATGTTACGACATCCCACAGTTAACTGCGACAAATTTAAAATTGTTTCGTTAAAGATTTAAAATATCGATATATGAAAGTGTTTCATTTCGATTTTAGGCTCATCGATATTAAAATTTTGAAATTCGATATTGAATTAGCAGTGCGCATGCGCGTTTGCATTCAGCAAATGGTTCCGTACAGTTTTGTGTGGGTGTTGTTCTTGCGTTTTGAATAATAATTTTAGATTGAAAAAAAAATGTCGACATTAATAAGCAGAAGAATTTTTGCGCATTTTTGTAATAATCATTTGAAAAAGTCGTCAATGCGTTCAAGAATTGTTAGTTTTAGTTCTATTAAAAATGAAAAGTCTTCCAACCTAGAAGAAAATGCAAAAAGTGGTATGCCGGTTTCTGAACCAGGCAAAATTTGTGCTGCAGTTTTGAAGAAATTCTCTGATCCGCTTATTTTAGAAAATATTGAATCTCCTAAAATATTGCAAGCAAATGAAGTAAGTTTAATGTATAAAGATTTACAATTTTAAATAACAGTTTTAAAATATCTTTGTTCTATTTTTAAATACTTTCAACTGTCTAATATCAATTTTTCTAATAATTGAATTAATTATTTCATTCTAATATTGAACTCTTCTAATATTTGAACTAGACAATGTTTTTTTATATATTTTATACCATATACAATGATATTGTTTATATAAATAAAAAAGAGGAACATCATATAAAAAACAATAAAAACAAATAGTAATATATATAATAATTTTTTATATAGTTTAGAATTAGATAAATGAAATGAATATGAAACTATTATAGATTTAATTAAAAATATGAAAGAATATAAAAGAGTTTAATAATTTTTTAAAAGTTAATTTTAATATGCTTTTATTTAATAAGATTATTGAAATATTTTATATTTTTTTATGTTAAATTAGATTATTTAAATTAAATTAAATTTAAATTTAAATTCTTTCGGAATAATTTCTTTTGTAATAATAAATTAAATTTTAGATAGACTTCTTATTAAAAAAGTAAATGTATCTTCGCATTGGTAGGTCCTTGTAAATGTTGATTATTGTGCTTTCAATGCATCAGATGCATTATTAGCAAAAAATTTACACACATTTAAACCAAGTTTACCTATAGTGCTTGGTTATGAATTTGTTGGAAAATTGATTCAAGTTGGGGAGGAGGCAAAAAAACAAGGATATAAAATTGGGGATAAAGTTATTGCTCTTAATAAGGAGCGTTATGGAGGTTTGGCTGAACAGTGTGTAGCAGAAATTACTGTAAGCAGATTCCTTTCAATTAATCATTTGTATTTTATTCTATTGTAAACGCAAAATTTTAGGATATCTGGAAAGTACCATCTGAAATAAAATCTGTTGATGTAGTGGGTTTACTCGATGATTATATTACAGCTTTAGTTGCATTAGAAAATAAAGTTAGCATTCTAGAAGAAGATATCATTTTTATTAATATTGGTATAAGTAGCACTGGTTTAGCTGCAGTTGATCTTGCTACAAATGTATTTAAAGCTCAGGTTAGAATTTAATACTTGAGATTTATATGTATATTTATTAACAAAAAATCTAATATAGTCACTTTTTGTTATAAGTTCGCGATGATTATTAATTCAGGTAATTAGTGTTTGTGCTACTGAAGATGGAGCAGCTCTTGCTAGAGAAAAAGGTGTGTTTGCTTCTTTTAAATATAAAGATCGTAAATTATTAAAACAAATTGAAGAGATAGCTGCAGAGAAAGATATTAAAAAAATCTTTGATGATGCAGATGGTGAATATTTAAAAAAAATATTAAGTTGGTAAGTTTAACGAAAATTGATTCTTATGTGAGATTTTAATTAAATTAAAAACAATGGTAGTAATATATAAGTAGGTAAATAAATACTAAATATGTTATATTTTTAGTTTTACTAATATTTACAAAAGTGAAATAACAATGGAAGATTTGTTACGTGATGATAATTTTGCTGTTGTATTACATCATTTTTCTCGCGAAGGTACAGAAATAATTTAAAAATAGTAATCATTTTAAATTAAATTGCACGATTTATTCAATGTGTTTATTATAAAGGAAGGATAGTGATTGCTGGTACAGTAGCAACTATAAAAAATGATTCTGATGCATCAAAGAATGGTTTTACTGTTAGTGGATTCAATTTAACAGAATATAGGAAGGAGAACCTGATATATATCGGTATAATAATTATTACTTATAAACTAAAATGTTTCATAAATTTTTTTCTCTTAATAAATTATTAAAAAATGATAATAATAATAATTAAGTTGTAATTAAAAGAAATTAGATTTAGATTTAAATTATGTGATATTCTTTAATTTTAATATTTGTTTAATTAGACAAGCCGGAGACGATGTTTTACAATTTATTGAGGAAGGTTTGATTAATCCAACATCCGTATTGACTGTTGGATTGCCAAAAGTAAATGATGCATTGGAATTTATTCTTAATAATAAATCTCCAGGAAAAGTGAGTGTAATAAATATAATTCGTTAACACACAGTTGTTATTCTATCGATTATATAATTATTATATAATTATATAATTAACTATTTAAAAAATTAAAAACTATTCATTTCACAGGTAATTGTTGATATAAAAAATAGCTAATAAATTTAAAGCGAAGAAAATGATATTTTATAATTAACAATTTTTTTTATTAAAAAAAAAATGAAAGTTTTATCATAATTTATCATAAATAATCCCGCATAATAAAAGATACAAAATTAAAATTTAATTAAGCTTTTTATTAAGTACATAAAAATTATATTAATAATAAATCAATTGTATTTTCTGTACTCTATTTCTTAATAAATATTTTGCATTTTCTTATGAGATAAAAAATTAAGTACACAGTAAGTATCTTTTTTTTCCTACTTATCTCAAAATTTCTAATCATTCAAAATTAATTACAATCAATTTTCATTTTCATAATTTTTTCCTACATTTTGACATTATTTTAGTTTGTTTATGTCGTTCGAAAATTGCATAAATGCGATTGTTCTTAAGTAGCAATGTCGTACTAACTTGATTGTGGTCATTATCGATTGCTCAACACCCCTTTATCGAAACTGGAGCATTTTGTTGCCGTGCTACCGACGAAAGGAAGCACGAAGTAAAAGTCCTGAGAACGGTCCTTCGTGAAATCGTCGATTATAAATATGTTCCCCTTAATGGTAGCAAAGAATTTTGTTGCGTTCCTCTGTCAGGTTCGATTCGAGGTGAAGAAAAGTGATTGTGCTTTTGTAACACACAGTTGACAGGGTGATACACACGCGTTTCGATCTTAAATTATGAGGCCATTATCGGTACTCTGGGAATAATGATCCAAGATAGAAATTCTCTGATCTTTTTCTTCTGACACGTTTAACGTAGCTAGAGAAATGTTGAGTATGCAGAAAATTGTTCAACAAAAACGAATATCATTATATGCATATTTTTATTTAGATAAATAGTTGGTAAATTACGAATAGCGTGAAAAGTAGGTTGACTATTTAAGCATACTGTTCGAAAGGATTGTCCTTTCGAATTCGTTCACTACGGGGGTCGAATGACGGCAGGGTTAAACGTGTTGATTAATTGATAACCGTGATTTGGGATCGTAAAGTGGCGTGGGTGCTCCAGATTGCGTGAATCGAGTGACTCGATATGGTCAGCCTTCAGGCAAAGTCCTTGTAAAATTATTTTCAGTCGAACACACAGTCTCAGAAAATATTTCTTTTTTAATTTTTTTATCATTAAGGATAGTATCAACAATATATTTGGCATTCCAATTATGAATATAGAAATTGTTTTTGTAAACGAAACAAGAAAGAAAAATTATTCATTAAAAAAAGTGGATTAATATTGAGAATTATAATTGGTTCAAGGGATTCTGGATAATGATGTAGATGTGATGAGACACGATTTCAATATTCGATCCTCTATTGACGCTGATATCGCGAAATCCTTATGCAAATGACGTTGTTTTCTTTGAAAACCTTGTATCACCAATCTGATCGAGGAAAAGTGAGAAATATCGCTTTTGTTCGAATCTTAATCACGATTTATCCTCCTCTGAATTATCTTATTTCGTTTTTTGTTCGTTTTCAGAACGAAATTTCTGACCTGTCTTTTTTTATCTGTTTAAATCAAGGACTTTATTCTAGTTAATTAATCGTAACTAGATTATATGACTGTATTAAACAAGTAAAACCAGATTTTTTAATTAAAAGAATTTCTTTTTATTGTTGCATACTATTCGATTCAGTGTAACGGATCTGGGTTTTCATTAATTAGCAATGATAATAAGAATTATGATAATAGAAAAGACTTTTGATAAAATTCTTTTCAATTAAATGAATTTTTGTTATTTATTCACAAGAGTTATATATATATATTTCATATATATGAAAAAAAAAGTCATTTATTCTTTCTTAAGAAACAGTTACCCCTAATTTAAACAGTTTACCTCTTCACTACTTCATATATTCCTGAGAACGTGAAACCATTAATTTCCTCCGCGAAGTCGCATAGAATGTAAATTTCCAATCCGAATAACCCGCATTGAATACATCATCATGAAATCGTACCATTCGCAAAATAGCTAATCTAATTAATCACTTTCTTCTATCGCTCGAACGTTTTAACGTAACACATTGCGTAGCAAACGATCGACGTATCAATGCTGTGTCAATCAATGGGCCGAATTACGTCAGAAATCGAACCATCGAGGCGCCATTTTCGGCGTTCAATTGCTCCATTTTGCGATCGTTCGAGAGATAAGTGGGAATTTCGAAGGGCGCGCGTGTCGTGTAATAAAATACGCGCTCTAAAATCCATCGATTCACTCGAAGAAGAGAGAGAGAGAGAGAGAGAGAGGGGAGAGAATAAAGAAAGAAAGAAAAACGTTCGTGTTCGACGCGAAAGTACTTGAGAAACTTGACTTTTTGCGCTCAATGTGTTTTATTATGTAACCTGTCCTTTCGATCTACACGAGAACCTTTATTTCTCCTCCGCCTCCGACATCTGGCAAGCAAATCGTCCGCGGATCCTCTTTCCAACACCGGGTTAATTGAAAGATCGTGTATCTTGGACACGAGGCGTAACACAGGAGGCAGGATCTATTAGGCGATTAATTTCATATAATTTTCAATAAAGATTTTTTTAACACAAGATTTTAAAAAGGATACTACAGATTCACTAAATCTCAAACTCGTCTAACAAGTTTCAGAAAGAACTCCTTAATTTTTGTCAATTAACGATATTTTTTAATTTTCGTCAGCAAAGTCGTTTCCATCGTGCAGAGATGCTTGGTTCGCGGATCTCGACGGGGTTGCAAAACAGGAACGAGATCCGTTGGATCCGAGAAACAGAGGCGCGTACGTGGCGCGAAACGAGTGGGAGAGGCTTACGACAGTCGCATATATCCGCGTGGCAGTTACGCGGCATTTGTCGCTCTGTCTGCGAGAACGATAAAAGGAATGGTATCGCGTATCTGTACAATCACTCTTGGGAGCACGGTTCACCTAGATATGCTAATATGATTAGAAAAGAGCAAGGGACATTTGCAAGGCTTTTCCTTCGGCTCGACCGGTAAATTGCTCGTTTCTGTGCTTACACTACGGGCCGCACGTGCGCCATTGCGTACGATTACCTCGCATTAGTCCAAATTATCGATCCGTGGATGCGATTGCACGCACTCTTCGATCTTTCTTTTCTTTTTTTTTGAAACAATGATTTGAAAATTTTTTTAGAATTTTTTAGATCAATTGTCGTCGAAAATTTTGCAATGATTTTTTTTAAGCGATTCAATTAAATAATTTTGGAAATTTTGTAATGATTAATTCAATGTGCTTTATAAATAAGATTGCAAAATTTTTATTCAATAATCTTCGTTATCAAAGTATCGATCATAACGAAATTTGATTTTCAATTTACTTTCACATTTTCCTAAACATTTCACGCGACGTCTTGCTAATTGTAAATCAATTTTGTTTTTTGCACGAGATAAAAATCGGTTAGATTTACATTAATTATTGATCTAACGTTGCGATAAAAGAGCGACATTTAAAAGATTTTTTTCTGAACGGAAGTGTTTCAGCCCGATAATTATCAAAGGTTAACCGCTCGATTAGCCTGCAACGTGAATAAATTACGTTTCAAACTCATCATTCTATCGCAATCTTTACTTCAAACGAACCTGTGATCTATTTCTTTGTTTATTTAAAAATAAATATAATTTCGTTCTTTCACGATCTCCGTTCAATTCATACCACGTTTTTAAAATGTTAACACGTAATTGAGTTGCATAAAACGCAAACGCTTTTTGCGAAACACCTGCGTTGATTTGATTTTTTTTTAATCTAGCATGGAAAACTTTAAAAATCCTTCGATGTAAATTTTTTCTTTTTTTTCAATATCTCTCAACCATAATTTGTAATCCAATAATTTGTCACAATTAAGTCACAACTTTGGAATTTTTTTCAACAACAAGAAACGAACGAAGTATATAAATTAAAACGCACGCGAATTACACAAACCGTTATTAAAACACAATTACTCCGATCGATCCACTTTCACGCCACGTGTTATTCCTGTAAAAATATCCTGTCTAAAAATCCTGACCCCGATCGGCACGAAATTGCAAAATTATAAAATGTCGGCCTTCTTTAAACGCTTCAAACTCCCGGCTTCAAATTAATTAATTCGCGCGAAGGGTTGAGACGGGAATTGCGGGTGTCGGTGGTAATTATGATCGGTTCTCTATGGGTCGGCATATTTCCAGCCACGGCTTAACGATAATAAAGTTACGACAGAGACTGGCGTTAATGTTATGCGGGGACCATGGCCGGCCGTGTATTGTTGTGCCACTCAGTTCTGTGGTGGCACGTAGACAGGCAGGCCTAACAATGCTTTAGGTCTCTGTTACGTGGCATTATGAAATGATAACACTTTCATCGGCCCTTATCGTCCATCGATCAGATTGAAATTTCGATCGATATTTTTCAATAATTCAATTGCAATTAGAGATCAGAATTAATTCACTCTCTCGTGAAACGAGGATATATATATATATATATATAATTCGAAGGATTATCAGCAATAATCAGCATCGATTTGAACGTTGAAATATCTATAATGAAATTATTAATTTCTTTCTTCATGGACGAAGAACAAGGATAATCTCGATAGAGTCTCTCTCGATCGTGTACCAAGACGATACGTTCGTCAACTCGACCCGTAAAAGATACACATACTAATAACTGGAGCAGAGAGTTGTGTAAGCCGGTGGGTGGCCGCCTTTCTCCGCCAGCTTTAACACCGGATTTCTGTCACAGCCGCGGGATAGACGATTCTTTTCAGCGCGGCTAATATTTAGCATGCCACTCGATATTTTAATTACGCTTCTCAGTCTTAACAGCGGTGTCGACAGATGTCGACAGAAACTCGACGACGACGACCATCCTGACGAGATAATATAGGAAGTGACTACAGTGAATAACAGGGGGTTGTCATTATTTTGAGAAGCTTAAGCTCACGAGTTGTTTTTCTTTGAGAGCTTGTTCCTCGAGAACAACAGGTTATACCTGCTCCAAATCGGTATTCACCCCGTGATCTTTTCGATTCTAATAAATCTGTACAGGTGAACAGATGCATCTGT